TTGTTAAATGTCAGCAACAATAATTAAATACCAGCTGGTTTGTCTTTGAGTATGCTAACTGCTGTAACATCTGGAATAGTCAAATAATGAGTTGTTGTTTTTTAAAAAAGAAAAACAAATTAGAAGATAAATAACCGTAACTGTTAATGACTTCTGTGATACAGTTCATGAACTATGGAAGTATCTGTTGTCAACTTAAGTACATGTTTTGCTTCATAGGATTTACTGTTAGGATTGGCACCATTAGTGTGCATTTCATGTGTTCTGTTTAGAATAGAACAGAATCATAGAGTTGGAATAGACCACAAGGGCCATCGAGTCCAACCCCCTGCCAAGCAGGAAACACCATCAGAGCACTCCTGACATATGGTTGTCAAGCCTCTGCTTAAAGACCTCCAAAGAAGGAGACTCCACCACACTCCTTGGCAGCAAATTCCACTGTCGAACAGCTCTTACTGTCAGGAAGTTCTTCCTAATGTTTAGGTGGAATCTTCTTTCTTGTAGTTTGGATCCATTGCTCCGTGTCCGCTTCTCTGGAGCAGCAGAAAACAACCTTTCTCCCTCCTCTATCTATATGACATCCTTTTATATATTTGAACATGGCTATCATATCACCCCTTAACCTCCTCTTCTCCAGGCTAAACATGCCCAGCTCCCTTAGCCGTTCCTCATAAGGCATCGTTTCCAGGCCTTTGACCATTTTGGTTTATCCGAAAATGATTTGGCGGGGTGGGGTGAGGAATGACAATATTTTGCTGCACTCTGCTGATACGTTAGTGGCACTGTCATTACTAAGTTGGTATTTCATGTAACTTGCTTCGGAGTTGTTTATATGCAAGTGAAGGGAACCTTCAAACTGGCTCAGACCCCCTAGTTGAGATTTCTCACTAGTAAGAGGCACCGCTCCATACCGAGGCCACAACATTCTGCTCTCCATTTTGATCAACCCTTTTTATTCACAATTATTTAAACTAAACAGGACTCCAGCCAATGCTGCCAGCACTTCTATCCAAAGGTTAATAGGTAGCAGGCGTGGGGGCTGTCAATTTTTAACTTAAAATTTCCTATGCAATTTTCCAATAGGTCGCAGGATAAGGGGGAAAAAGAAAGCTATTAGTAGCAGATTCTGAAGATCATTCTGAGAACTGCATAACTTCATTTGCAGAAAGAGCCACTATCTCTCAGAAACATTTACAGTCAAACTTCCTTGGCTTTGGTGTTGAGGCCATTGATTCTGTAAACCACAATGCCTGACTGCAACACTACTCTCCCCTCTTGAGGTATCTAGAGACTAGTATTCAGAAGCATGCTGTCTCCAATCGTAGACTGTGCTTTTTTCCCTAGAAAAATAGGAGCCGGTACTCGCCATGAAGCTGTTACATTAAGTGTCACACTTTTTAACCAAAAAGAGAGAGGTGCACTGTGCTACTCACCACAAAGTGGCTACAGTAAGTGCCACATTTTTAAATTACAGCAAAAAGAGTACTTCTGAGGGGAAAGCACTGAACATAGTCATCAGGGTGAGTAGTCACTGTGCTGGGAATTTGTCCTAGTTTGTGGCTTTCACTGCCTCATGTGGGAGCAAACGCCAAACACTGCCATTTACCTGGTCGTAAATAGATCTGCTCTCTCCAAAAGCCCTTAATTAAGCCAGCCCTCTGCATTCCCAAAGGAAGCCCTATAGCCCAGAGTAAGCGAAGCAAGACAATCCCTTCCTTAGCCCATTTTAGTCATGCTAGTAGCTCTGCTGCGTTCCTGGTTGTTGACTTTGAAATAATTATATTTGTTCCCTCAATGCTGTTTGCTCGGAGAAATGTTTTGATTAACCAGCATTGTGTTATTGTGCTGGAAAGGAATTGTTTTATTTATGAATGCAGATAATAATGGTCCTGCATATGCTTCTGCTGCTTAGAGAGATGGTGGCGGAGGCAGAAGAGAAACGGTTGCTATCGTCCTCTCCCATGGTGTGCCTGCTTTTAGGACAAATGTCCATCCAGGAAATTTTGCAGGAGTCTAATCACACTGGCGCTCTATAATTACACAGCTTAATTGTTTCTGGATGGTTTGAGAAATGCTTTGGTGCCATTTGTCCTTTCAGAATCTCACCCAGACGCTTATTACTGTGCTTATACATCCCAATGTACCTCTTACTAATTTTTCCCTGTTTGCCTCTTTCCAAACAAAGCAACCTTTTACATTTGCATTCATAAAACCGTTGCACCTCCCCTGTTCTGTTTTCCTGCTGGCAATTCTAGCCCTGCTTCTGTATCCCCGTTTTACCTCCAGTTATCTCTGAAATCATACCCATGCTCCTCTGACTTAATGCAGTGGGCAAACAGGTGCTCTTCATTTCCAGGTGGGAGAGGGGGGGAAAAGCTTAACTTTTTGTAATACCCAATTTTCCCGGGCCACATTCCATTAAGTTAAAACGCTGGAATAACCAGTATAAAAACTGAATTCTACTCTATGGCTAAACATACTGAAGCACAATGAAATGTTTCGGGCCGCTTTTGAAAAGCATATCGCTGTATTTGCAGTATAAAAAACAACTTTAACTACGGAAGACTGGAAATAAAAGAGTCTGCATGGTTCTACACAAAAATAACAGCTTATTTCTTATTTTTTAACTGGCCTTGAGAGGGGATCTAAATGGCCAGTGAGACCCAATTGAGTGCAAAACCCTAGCTGTTTAGAAACCATGAATTTGAAGCATTGACCTCCCTGCAATAATCTTGAGAGCCATAGTTCACCCTTCACAGAGCGACAGTTCCCATCACCCTTAACAAACTACTGCTCCTAGGATTGTGTTTTCAATACATGGTTTGCATATATTGTAGCACAAGCGATTGACATTATGTGCCCACTATTTTTGAATACTTGTTGACGTAAAGGTCTGAAGAGCTGAGTCTGCCCTCCTCAGGCTCCCTATATGATTGAAAACTCTGAGAACATGCATAGGGGAAGCTTCCATCTTCAGAATACTTTTGCTTCCCATTCCACCCATGACCATTCTCAACTGCAGAATTTTGAGAGATTACAAGGTGTTGTTTTGCATAACACAATAACATGGCTCTGGCAGCATTGCCACAGTGAAAGATGTTTTTCACAGAAAAGCAAGCTGCACATAATTTTTCTCCCCCCCCCCTTCTAACGTAAGCTGAGAAGTGGTACCAAATGTTCAGCTGACAGCATGGTTAGAGGCTATTCAATTTAGGCAATATTTGTCAAAAGTGGTGTCCTGCATTTTAGCACCTATTATCTTTTGATTATGATCCCCTGGATACTTGGTTTGAATGAGATTGGGAGAATTAAAAATGGCCTCACAAATCACTTCTTAATCTGGTGAAGTAAGCAGAGGGTGAGGTGAAAAACATCCTGCTGTCATTTCGGTGAGTTGTAGGGACAAAAAAAAATGTAAATAAAGGAAAATAAATCACTGGTTGGTTCACACTTCATCAGCTGCCTAACAACTTGTAGCCAGTTAATTATACACCCTTAAAATACATGTATAAGGGGAAATGATTCAGAACTCTTTTAATGGGATGCAGGATAAATACATTCCTTCTAAGCATGTAACCCTTTGTGTGCTTTTGTAAAATAGGTTCTCATGACAATGGAATGGTTTGGGCCCATACCTAGAAAGAAAAAACAATTGCATGCATTCAAAAAACACAGTAAATAGTTAACAGTACTGTAGGACATAGCAGGAGCTGGTGCAAGGTGCTGGCTACAAGGTAAGGCAGGAATCCCCACTAGGACTGGGTGGCCCCTAGCCAAGCTCTTGTCCCCTGAGCCTCGGTCTTCTCCATCTGTAAGGTGGGCGCAATTATATCAGTCTACCTAACAGGACTGTGGTGGAGTGTTGTCAGGAGAGCCAAGGTCTGCCACCATTTTACATCATGTTCCCAGCCAAACTCCTTGGCTCTAGATCCTTTTCTTGTTGCCTAAAATCCTAGGTGAGGCCGAAGCTGTTTTAAGTTGTTGTTTTTTAATGCTGTGACCCATCCTGGGACCTTATGAAGTGGAGGTAGCAAATAGATGACGTTACAGTAATGATAAATAACAATGGCTGAGTTCCATGCCCGTGCTTGTCTGGAGTGGCTCAGCATGCACACAGTGGCTCTGAAAATGAGTATGGGATCACAGCCTTATTAAACGTCATCAAATTTAATTTGTATAGCGCCCTTCATCAGAAGACCTCAGGGTGGTTCGCAGAATAAAATGCAAGATAAAATGCAAGTAAATAATTACACCAAGTAAACAATCAGTTGTGTTTGTGTGAGTGCTTAAGTAAGTATTGTCGCACTTTGAATTATAGCAACCAGATGAAACACCTGCTGTGCCTTTAGGGGCTTTCCTAATGCTGCACAGCAGGCGCCCATTTCCCCAACTACGAAGCGCTTCTCTGGCTGACGAGAGAGAGGAGCTCCCGCCTATTTTGAAGCGGCGCTGGCGCGGGCCATCCACACGACCTCGCGCCCATTCGGCCACCTGCACTCGCGCCCCCGTTCCAACGCTTCGCTCTCATTCGGCGCCCAGGTGGGCTCAGGAAGCAACCCGATTGGCTGCCCTCAGCCCAGGCCGAGCTCCGCCAGGTGGCTGCTGAGGTAAAGTGCAGGGAGGAAGGGAGGGAGAGAGCGCGCGCCCCTCTTAAAGCAGCTCGCGAGGCTCCTCCCATCCGTTCGGCGAGAAGGAGGGACCGCGCGCGCGCACCCGCTCAAACACCCACTTTACCTCCCCGCCCCTCCTTCGCAACTCTCTCTTCCCTGCCGAAAGAGCGCACGCGCGGCTCGCCTCCTTTTTCTTTCTCTCCGCCCCCTTGGCGTGGTGGCGTCAGCGCCGAAAAGCGGTGAGTCGGGGCGGCGCAGTCGCGAGCAGCGTTTCTGTGCTGAAGGGAAAACGGGAAGAAGGCGCTGGAGTTGCGGGGAGCTCTACGGGGGCCGGCGGGGCTCAAGCAGCCGAAGGCGTTTGGAAATGTGGGGGGGGGGAGGTGCGCGAAACAGTTTCGCGTTTTCGCCGTGAAGGGAAATAGAGAGAGCCAATTGAGGGCGGGATTATTTATTATTCTTCGTTTTGCGAGGGTGCTCCAGTTAGCCCCTTGTTGTGGCGAAATGCAGCTCTGCGAGGCAGGCTTAAGAGCTGCTGGAGCCCCCGCTCTAGGGCAGGTCGACGGTGGGACTGTGCCTCTGAGGGGAGATTTCCCCGGTTGGAGGGGAGAAACTGGGGAGACGCGACCGGTCAAAAAGGCTCTTCCTCCGGTCCGCGCAGTGAGGAGGAAAGTCCCTGTGGGGGGCTGCCGAGGAAGGGAGAATATGACCTGCTTGTGTTGCCTTCATTCTGACAGGAGGAAAAAAAGGCGCTAGTCCTCATCTTGCCAAGGGTGTTGGGGGGAACGCCGGGCGTGCAAGCAGCTGCTGCAAAGAACAGTGTCCCCCCCACCCCACCCCGCCTCGAAAGGCGGCGGTGTCTGCTGCCATGGGGGGTGCAGCACCTTCCCTTGCCCTGAGGTAAATCAGGGAGTGCAGGGAGCTGCGGTGGATGCTCCTAGTCAAGTGTTGGAGGTAAAAGGTCTTCCCCACTATGGCCATAATAAGCCTGTGTGCACTTGGAAGTGAACATGCATAGGTTTGACTGCCTTGCCTCCAGATCATCGGTTTAAAAATCCACCACACGTGTCGCAAAGGAGCTTCTCATTCTAGGAAGGGACTTCGCCTTCTGCAGCTGGCTTAGTGGGATGAAATTCCTTAGTCGGTGCAACTGCCCCCCCCATCAGGTATTCCACCTATATGTGGATTTATATCGCTTACTTAGGAAACACCCATGTCCAGCAACGCTTCTTTTTGGTCGCCTGTATGAGTTCATTTGTCTTTGCTGCTCAAATGACAATAAGGACCAGAGGACCAGGAAGGAATCATTTCCTCTTAAAGAGGGGTTATATAGAGCAGGGGTCAGCAAACTTTTTCAGCAGGAGGCCGGTCCACTATCCCTCAGACCTTGTGGGACTATATTTTTTGGGGGAAGTGAACGATTTCCTATTCACCACAAATAACCCAGAGATGCATTTTAAATAAAAGGACACATTCTACTCATGTAAAAACACGCTGATTCCTGGGCCGGATTTAGAAGGTGATTGGGCTGGATTCGGCCCCTGGCCTTCGTTTGCCTACCCATGGTATAGAGACATAAACTTAAGATGTGTAAAGTGGAGAGCTTTTATGAATAAAACCAAGTTCTTCAGGAACTTTTGAGGTTTACATGTACAACTTTCTGAAGCTACCCCAAGTGTAATTGTTTAATATTGAAAATTGGTGTTGGCATAGAAGCAAATAACCTGCATCACAACAACCCACTTGTGCTGTTACTAAGGTTAACCCACCTGACTGGTGCAAGAAATGGGGATAATAAAAACGTAGAATTGTAGAGTTGGAAGGGACAACAAGGATCATCTAGTCCAACCCCCTGCAATGAAGGGATCTTTTTGCCCAACGTGGGGCTTGAACGCACATCCCTGCTTGTGAATCTTTTCCCATATAAGAAAAAGCTTTGCCAGTTAAACTTTCCTATCGAGGCTGTTGTAAAAGCCACCAGAGCAAGGCCAGGTAAAGCAAAACAACAAGAGGAAACACTGTTACTATTTAAGTAGGCAAGATTACACACTTGCATACAATGTTACTTAATCTAAAATATTTGCCACTTCTTGGTTCATAGTCATTACCTTTGATTAAAATCACCACATACCATAAGCATGCATTAAAAGGACAGTAAACCCACTTTATCCCCTACTCTTTGACAACCCTTCATTAATTGTAGTATTGAAAAGGTAACAGATCTAAGCAACACTTCGAGTTCGTCTTCTGTATGTAAATTTAATTGTCATGTTTCTATCCCCAGTTGCCACAATTTCAGCAGCTAGATAGTCTTAAGTTCCATCATGGGCAAAGAGTTGTGGCATTTCTTCAAGATGAACTTATTTTCTGCATCCATTATTCTAGTGATGGTGTTTAGATTTGGAGCCCTATTTGCAAAAATATTTACATTTTATAGTGAAAAGGTAAATTCTCCACACACAGCATATATTGCATTGTTTACATTTCCTTTACTTTGGGCTATAGATGTGTTTGTTTTATTTATGATATTTACTTTGTGTGTGCGTGTGTTTTAAAGCAAAATGTAGCATAACTCACAAAAGTATCCAGTTCAGCAGGACTTTATTAGAAAACACTAATTTCAGCAGGCTGCATAAGGAATAGTTGAGCACAATACAGTGGTACCTCAGGTTACATACGCTTCAGGTTACATACTGTCAGGGGCTCAGGAGCAGAGGCACAGGAAAGGGAAGAAATAGAGAGCGGGGGGGAGGAATCCGAAGGAAATGTTAGCGATGACAACGGTCCGAGGTCTCTGAGTCTTTCCAGCGAATCGGAGGATTCACAGAAAGGGGCTCCCATGGTCAGAGCAAGGGGGGTGCCGAGGGGGACACCCCAGGAAAAGGGGGCCAGAGGGGACTCAGAGAGCAGCAGTTGGAAATCAGGACCAGCTTCCCCACCAGAGCGCAGTAGGGGGGAGGAGTCCCAGGTATCGGGAGCAGGCGGCTCACCGCCAGCGGGAGGACATGAGTCAGGATTGGCCACGCCTCCATCGGGGAGCGAGGAAACGGTCAAGAGGAAGGTCGAAAGCTGGGCGCGCGCGCCAAGTTCAAATGTACAGGAGGGCGGCGCAGTTGGCAGCCCGGATAGGGAGCCAGGTCCCAAAGCCCGCCGAAAAGAGGGGGAGGAGGCAGGGGGGTCAGCGTCAGAAGAGTCCAGAAAGGAGGAGACCCCGGGGGGCAGAAGGACCCAGAGGAGAAAGGAGAGACGGAAAAGGTGGAGTAAGATTAGAGCCTTAAGTTGGTGTACAGGGGGTGGAGACTCAGATGGAGCTTCGCCGGTCTAGCCCCTAAGACGTAGAGCTGGGGCGCTCCGGTTTGGAAATGGAAACTGTACTTCAATAAAGACTTTTGTATATTACTACCGGCTAGCGTTGGTCCTCTGTGAGCTGGGACCCGGAGCCAGCTCTGACACATACGCTTCAGGTTACAGACTCCGCTAACCCAGAAATAGTACCTCGGGTTAAGAACTTTGCTTCAGGATGAGAACAGAAATCGTGCTCTGGCGGCACGGCGGCAGCAGGAGGCCCCATTAGCTAAAGTGGTTCTTCAGGTTAAGAACAGTTTCAGGTTAAGAACGGACCTCCGGAACGAATTAAGTTCTTAACCCAAAGTATCACTGTATTTATTTAATACATTATTAGGAGAAATCATTTTAAATTTGGGGTACTGTGAAGCTAAATGAAGGGTACCATATTATTGCTTGCAAGCTTTTGGAAGCGATGCCACCATTTGATAAAACATAAATCTACATATATTTACTTCTTACAATTGAGACAGACTTCATGTTTTAAATTATCTCTGCAAAATATTTAATCATACTGCAGAATAATACTTATTCAAGCAAGATGAACTTGATTTTACAGAATATGGAGGTCAGTAACTCGGTATACTTTTTGACTCCAGAGTGTAAGCCTAGGTTTTTGGAGAGAAAAATTACTAAGATCCGGAGATTTGGGAAATGTAAACATAATTCAACCCTATTAAGGATGACTCACTGAATTCTTTTATTGCTGGTTTTAATGGGGTGGTTCTTTATAGAAGTTCTCTACACTATAGTTCTAGAATTAATATGTGCCATATCAGTGCAACACCAAAGGATTCCTCAAATAGTTTTTCACTGTCCTGCGGATTTAATTCAAGTTGTAATAATGTGCCAAAGGATCAGGCTAGGATGCTTTGAGGTTGCGCTGAGAACACTGAGGGCATTTTGTGCACTTCAAAGCACTGTACCAAAGACTCAAACACATGTGCCTCGAAGAAAAGGAATAGTAATAAAATCAGAAACACAGAAAAAACCAATTTTCCTCATGCTGTTACAAAAAAGGCTCACACAATAAAATTAAACTGAGTGACAGAACAGTCCATCTACTAGGACTTTGTAGTGAGCCATTGGATGTCACTTTGTAATGCTGATAGTTAGAGCTGAGATTTCTAACAAGACCAAAAGGAGGGGAAACCCATAAATGTGAAGTCCTGTTTGACAAAGAACCTTATATAGGCCAGGGACCCAGTGGTGCAGCTGGGTAATTTAAGACCCTGGACTTAATAGCCTTACAGTGGCAAGGGCTTTAGACAGCTATATGTACTACTTCAGCTGTGAAGCACACAAGCAACATTTTTTCCACCCCCACTGGCATTCCATGCTTAACAACAGCTTCTGCATATCTGATAATGTTGGCGCAAACAAAAAACAGTCTGCCAACCCTGAATAATATTAATACTTTGAGGATGTGCATTTACTCATTTTAATCTCACTTAAATCAGCACCATTATGACAGCAGGAATAAAATGGACTTTACCCATATTCCAAACAAGTTTAGCATTTGGGTAGCTGCACACTTAGCAAGTACAAACTTAACCATCGTTTGGAACATGTGTGGACCAGGACAATAGTTTAAGGAACTTGACACTGGATTGTGGCCACTGAGCCTTGATTTGGAGACATGCCTGTCTACATTTGGATTTGTAAAAGGGTTTCCTTAGAAACAAATGCCTTCACTGTCATGCTCAGTATATGAGTATCCAGTAAATAATAGAATCATATGTTTGCTTCTGTTTATTAAAGAACCTTGCATCTATGCCACAACATTCAGCTGATAAACATAATTCAATAATTAGTTGTGTTAATGCACAATGAATGGTATTAGTAGAATTCCCCCCTGCTCAACACACTGACATTGCCTAAAGCTTTCCCTTAGAGTTTATTAGCAATTTGACATAATTTCTTGAACTGTACGCTTTATGCTATTTTTGCAAATTCTCCCTGAAGCTGAATTGACGGGACAAATCTGGATGATCTTAAACTAGGAAACATGTCCAGCTGGTGACTCAGTAGAACGTACTTTTTCTGACAATTTTACAAAGCAATTAGGACACTTAACCCATTTCCAGTGATAAGATAATAGGATCATGGTTGCAAACTGCTGAACTGAATGCACTTCTTAAATGGCAAAAGGAATAAATCAAGTTGTTTGAAATAAGCTGCTGCGTGCCATTGCCATTCCATGCCTCTTGCCTCTCCTTATGAAAAGCCTATCATGGGTCATCTCCCCACCCCACCCCAATTTGCTTTGAGGAAGGTTGCTGTGATTTTACTGCTGTTTATCTTGTAAATACATCAGTGGGTAATTTTTAAGTGCTTAGACTTGCAAATTTGTGAGTTGAGGCTTTCGGTGTATTACTTGATGAGTTTTGGCAGGCGGCTTGACAAACTGTGTCTTCTAATGTGCAAACGAGTGTAGGAAATAAAAATAAACATTTAAATGTAGAGAGCAATCTAAATAGCATCTCTGCTCCATATGTTGTAGTACCTGCTGGAGACCCATTATAGTCCCTGGACTTTTTGTACACTAACACTTCAGTCCAGATAGCGCTGTGCTCCATCTGCTGTAATCTCTAAGCTGCACAGTATGGGCTTCCTTGGATTTTGACCTGTTATTTGCTGGTTCTTTTGATCTTTGCTAGGCAGGCACTTTGCCATTCTCATTCCCCACCCTTTTTGTTGTTGTTGCTGTAAACTACAGGGCAGTGCAATTTTATTGTTTATATCTAAGGCAAATACAAATGTGTGAGCCCTAATGCTACATACAAGTAAAAGGGCATAGACCTTTTGTTGTTTTCTGTTTATAGCTTTTCTTGCTATAGGATCTTCTCATAGTATGACTTTTTTTAAGGCAACATGGGTGGATATCAGTCTAAGAGTACGGTTGCTGCAGAAAATTGTTCCCAATCGCAACTCCCCCTCTCCCCAAGAATGACTATTCTAAGGAATGAACACCTGGCTTTGGTCATTGACACATCATTTAGGTTCGATCCCTGTTGACATAAAGCCTAAAATGACTTGCGGGGCTCTGGAGTTGCATAATTTCTCTTTCAATAACTTTGAGAAGTGAAGGTTTGAAATAAAAAAAGATCAAAGAAGGCGCTTGATATTTGAATTCTTCCAAGTATTACAATATGCTAATATTTCAGTTTTTCATACCTGGATTCAGTTTTGTTACCTGTATTTGAGTGGTGATGTTAAACACAGCATTTCCTTGTTTCCATCTTGTTAGGTTCAGTGTTTTTGCTTTTTAAAAAACCCCTGGCTCTACTCAATGATCTAGTGCTTTGGAAGCATTTTCTTCTGTTCAATTTTGCATATTAAGCAGCATATTTGTCTGTTTGCACAGCAAATATTCTTTTCCATTGCAGAACAACAGAGATTACAAAACATATAGCTAATAATTCATCTGAAAGTATCTGCTATTAGACAATTGTGTAGTAATTTTATCTGGGTAAATGGCTGCTTCATCCGTTCACAGTTGTGGTGTATTTTTGATTTCCACAGTATAGGGGGACCAGTGGCAGAGACCTGATGATGGTGTAGTATTTGCAGTAGGTGTGGTGGATTGGCAGAAGCAGATGCACATTATCATAGTGCATGCTCAGTGTGTATTTTCCTTTTCTTGGTTGGATGGGATTGGATCTTGGTTTAAAGATGTACAACTGTGACTGATGTGCTTACTTCTTACCTGCAGGCAAGCATTCTCACATTGCAGAATAGTGTTGTTTTACTTGCATTGCAAATGCTGTATCCCCAACTTCTGCAGACCACATTTCTGAGTCTTCCTGGACAGTTTCACACATCCAACCTAGAGCCTGGATAGCTCAGTTGGTTAGAGTGTGGTGCTGATAACACCAAGGCTGCAGGTTCGATCCACGTATGGGGCAGCTGCATATTCTTTCATTGCAGAGGGTTATACTATATGATCCTCAAGGTCCCTTCCCACTCTACAGTTCTATGATTCCAAGTAATCAAGTGATGATTGCCAAAGATAAGACTAAGCTGTTGCATTTTCATTGGGTAGTAGTTTGTTTACCTATTATTAGATATTTACATTTATATCTCATATCTTTCTCCAAAGGAGCCATGGGCAGCAAACATATCAATATTAAAACAATATAATTTTGTAAAAGGTGAAAAACAACGTTCTAAAAAACATCCTAAAACTCCTTAAACCTATCACATACTTTCAAATTAATACTTCCAGTTTTGCCAGGGACAGAATTTTCAGTCCTCAGATGCCTGGGTAAAAATAACATCCTTAGAATTCTCCTAAAATTTAATCGTGAAGGAGACTGACACACCTTTCTAGGGATGCAGATGGGAGGCCACTACTGAGAAGGCCCTTCCATCGGTGACTGCTAACTAGGCATCTTCCTGTGGTGGAACTACCAACAGCCCCTCTCCTACAAGTTTATCTCTAACTCCAGATGGGCAGATTTACATTCCATTATTCTAAGTTCCCAAATGAAAATAACCAAGATAACATTAATAAACTAATATAAATAATAGTTTAAAAACTGGTTGCCCATAGTCAAGCCTTTCTCAATCTTGGATCCCCAGATGTTGCTGGACTACAACTCCCATCTTCCCTAGCTAGCAGGACCCAAGGTTAAGAAAGGCTGCAGTAGGCCAACCTATTCCGCTTTGTGATGCTTTTTCCTGGGAAGAATGAGCAAGGAAGGACAACAATGCCCATCACCTTTGCCTATTGGCTACACTGGCTAAGACTGATGAGCTGTTGCTGATGGTAATTCAGCAATATCTGGAGAGCACCGTGTTGACTGTTCCTGTTTTAAGAGTATATGAAAAACAGGCAGCCATGTTTTCCATAAGGGGGAAAAACTCTCAAGTGCACAGATGGACCATACCTTTATTTGGATCTAGCTAACAACAACAACAACAACAACAACACATATAAAAACACCATAAAACATCAAACATTAAAAGCTTCCAGATACAGGGGTGTCTTCAGATATCTACTAAAAGTTGTTTAGTTCTTTATCTCCTTGACATCTGATGGGAGGGTATTCCAGAGGGAGGGTGTCACTTCCAAGAAGGCCCTCTGCCTGGTTCCCTGTAACCTCACTTCTCACAGTGAGGGAACTGCCAGAAGGCCCTTGGAGCTAGACCTCAGTGTCTGGGCTGAACAATGGGGGTGGAGATGCTCCTTCAGGTATATAGGGCCAAGGCTGTTTAGGGCTTTAAGGTCAGCACCAGCACTTCGAATTGTGCTTGGAAACGTACTGGGAGCCAGTGTAAATATTTCACGACTGATGTTACATGGTCTCGGTGGCTGCTCCCTGTCGCCAGTCTAGCTGCCGCATTCTGGATAAGTTGTAGTTTTTGAGTTACCTTCAAAGTAGCTCCACACAATATTCCAAGCAGGTGATTACCAGGGCATGTACAACTCTGGTGAGATAGTGCACGGGCAGGTGGGGTCTCAGCAAGCGTACCACATAAAGATGGTAGAGAGAGAATAATTGGGAATAGGTAATTAAGCTCTTCAGAAACCTTCATCAGGTTAAATGTTACGCAAAGCAGGAAGTGAGAGGATGAGGGAACACCCCTCCCATACAAAGTTTACTATGAATGTTGAAGCCATATGATCTCTTGTGGCCCAAAATATTGGAGATTACAGTCTGATTGGGTTATGCCTAGGATTCTGGGACAAAACAACAACAACGGCAATCCCTGTTTGCTTTTTGTTGACAAATTGTATTTCATTACAACTAATGTTTTGCTTAAATGCCATTGAAATGACTTTGTTCCAAATTCTTGCTTTTACAGTGGCTCTACTTTTCTTCCATCTTTCAGATTATGGCACAGACCCAAGGCTTTGGGCTAAGGTACATCAAAGCCTTTTTGAAAGGCTTCTTTGTTGCTGTTCCTGTGACGGTGACTTTCCTTGACAGAGTGGCTTGCATAGCAAGAGTTGAAGGAGCTTCAATGCAGGTAACAATGCCGCTGCTTTTCCCCCAGTTCATTTTCACCTGCGTGGAGGCCTCAATTATAAATTGACAATCCAGTTTCAAAAGCAGGAGAAAAATGCAATTTTCAGCATTTTATGTAAAAGGCCTTTTCATTACAGAGAGGGCAGTTTCCACTGTGTTTGGTCAGGCAGGAGTTTCTTGTGTTTGGGGAGTGCAGAACTTAGCAGGGGTTTCCCCCCTTCTTTTTGAGACCTATACATCTATTTCTTTGAGAGGCTTAAGAAATTTAAAGTATTCTGTTTGGCTAATTTAGAATTAAGAGAAGTATGATCTGTTCTGTCAATCATGCCTGGGTAGAATGTGGTGTTGGCAGGAGAGTTGATAAATAGATAGCATAGCCGTGCGCTGCAGCAGAAGTTGCATTGGGAAAGATGCTATGTTTGAATTGAATTGTATTTTTTTAATAACCTAAGATGGATCTTGGATTTTTAAAAATAATTTCCCTTTCAAAACCAACTTTTCAAAGAGAGATGTTTCCATGACCACTTTCTTTCCTTTTTGAGGGAAGGGAGGAGAGTTTCTTCTAGAAACTTGATTCCTCCTGATCTTCTTTAATTTTTGAAGTCCTTTATTTCAGTTACACACATGGCTTGCTTTATTTGTTTTCCATCATGATTTGGAACAACCATCAACCTCTCCCTCTTGCTTTTTCACAGGTATAATAATCCTCTCTGTTTGTACTTTTTAAACTGCAAGCTGTGTAACTATACTCATTGAGTAAGATGTGCAAAAAAGGACTTATGCATGTGTATCCACTTAACACAGGGACGTGGGTGGTGCTGTGGTCTAAACCACTGAGCCTTGGGCTTTCCAATCGGAAGGTCAGTGGTTCGAATCCCCGCAATGGGGTGAGCTCTTGTTGTTCAGTCCCTGCTGCTGCCCACCTAGCAGTTCGAAAGCACCTCAAAGTGCAAGCAGATAAATAGGTACCACTCTGGTGGGAAGGTAAATGGCGTTTCCGTGTGCTGCTCTGGTTTCACCAGAAGTGGCTTAGTCATGTTGGCCAAATGACCTGGAAAAACTGTCTCCAGACAAATGTTGGTTCCCTCAGCCAGTAAAGTGAGATGAGCGCCGCAACCCCAGAGTCGTTCGCAACTGGACTTAACTGTCAGGGGTCCTTAACCTTTATTTTTATCCACTTAACATAATCATTCATAATCAAACATAAATTAAAATGTGTTACATAAGCATAGAATTTTATTGTTGTGGTTGGACTGTTCAGGTCTATATATTAATTTCAATATTAAAATGCTGTAAGTTTTCTTTATTTTAACTAACCTGAATTTAATTGTGTCTGATTTTAGTTGAGGCTTTCTTATCTGGAGTGTTTATAGTGTCAGAACCTCAGGGGAGAATGCTCATTTCCTGATTAAGAGACTTCTCTAGTTAAGGTAGTCATATGGTGATGGAGGGCGTGATGATGGTAAGGACCAGGACTGCAGTGCCCATGCTTTTAGTCCAGCTGGGTGCAGATCTTGAAGGTTTTGACACTGATGGCCTTTATGAGAGGCATGTTTCTGCCTGTCCCAAATGCCACTATACACCAGTTTTATGTGGTGCTATGGTGGGAAACGTGCCTCGTTTCTGGATCAGCACAACTGGAGACTGTTTTGACAATTATCCAGATCAAATCAAAATGTTTATTCGGCTTTACGCCCATCATGAAACACAACACAACACAACAAAACAAATAAAAACAAATCAGATCAAATAAAACAGTGGACTCGTACAAGCCACAAGTAGTATAACACAGTTCTCAACTCAGAAGGACAGATATTAGCCATTCATAAGAAAAGTTTAACATTAAGATTTAAAAAAAAATAAAAAATTTAGGCACTACACTAAAATCAATATCTCATGTAATTATAGAAAATTCTTATAACTATCAATAATCAGCTAACATTCCATTCCGTCTCTTGTACGAGAGGACGGCTGTTAGGAATTTAGCAGCCTGTAGGGTGATATAAGGATCCACATCTTGAAGAACCCAGGCCAGCTGTAGGTCTACTGATTTGTCAGCCATAGGCTGGATTATGGAGTTTAGTATACTAGCACGGGCTGAACTGTACAAAGGGCAGATAAACATAACATGATGTAGAGATTCAGATGTTTTCATTTCACACGCACACATTGAAGGGACTTGGCCCTTAATGAATCTATGTCTCAGCACGTTTGTTGGAAAGACATTAAACCTAGCTCTAATGAAGGCATATCGGTGAGACGCGGCCGTAAGCGATGTTAAGTAGGACGGAGCGCGGTAGATAGGGGTTATGCCGAAATTTAATGGCGAGCAGACTCCACCACCAGCTACGAAATTTTGGTATAGCTCCACATCATCCAGCCTTTGATTTATACACCTTTTTGCCACATTTAGATCCAGTTTGAGCAATTCAGTGGGCGAGATCTCATAGGACAGCAAATTTGGCATGGATTTTTCCTGACCACAAATTGGTGAAGTCATCTCGCCACATGCATTGAATGAGATAGTGGTTCGGGAGTTTATGCCATAGGGATATCCAATAATTCAAAACTCTCCTCCATATAACTAACTCCACTGAGGGGATCTTCATTTCTAAGCGGATAGCCGCATTACTTACGCATGTTGGTAATTTTAGAAGTCGGCGTAAGAATTGGCTTTGAAGTGACTCTAAAGGTGAGAGATTTGCAAAGGCAGCCCATAGAGGTGCAGCATAGGCCATTGTGGCCATCACTTTGATGCTATACACTTTCAAGGCCGCAGGGATGAATAAGGCCCCCTCAGAGTAGAAAAAACGGAGGAGGGAGTGTGATAGGGCTTTTGTCTTGTTTTGAAGATATTCAACGTGCGCTTTCCACCCTAAATTATATTGAAAATAAATTCCTAAATATTTAAATTTATGTACTTGTTCGATTTTCGTGCCCTCCAGTTTCCATGAATAAAGTTTTCGACTCCTTGAAAATATCAGTACTTTGGACTTGGAATGGTTGATAGTCAGATGATTAGAATGGCAATATGTCGCAAAAATCTTTAGTGCCCTCCTTAAACCCACTCTGGAGTAAGAGAGTAGTACCGCATCATCTGCGTAGAGAAGTAAAGGACAGCGGTAATCTGCTATACGAGGGGAGTGGATAAATTTTTGTGAGTCGGCTAATGGGTTCCTCATATCGCTGATAAATAAATTAAAAAGAAGAGGCGCTAAAATACAACCCTGGCGTACACCCTTATTTACTGGCACTGGGTTAGTCAGATCTCCAGCAGGGGATAATCTCACCCTGGCCACGGACCCGGCATGAAGTTGGGAGATAAGCCACAATAACCTTCTATCTATTCCCCAACAAGCAAGTTTATCCCATAGTAATTTCCTCGGAATACTATCAAACGCAGCTTTCAGATCTATGAAAGCTGCGCAGAGTTGGCCCCGTCGAGGTGTCGAGTATTTCCGGGCTAAGTGATAAAGAATAATTGCCTGGTCTGTTGTGGATCGGTTTAATCTAAATCCAGCTTGCTCATGTCCAATCAGGTCAGCCTCAACTGACCACTTCATCAGCCTTGCCAGCGAAAAACGGGCATATATTTTCCCAATGGACGATAGCAGACTGATATTCCGATAATTCCCTGGGTCACCGGGAGGGCCTTTTTTGTGGATAGGAATTATAATGGCCTCCTTCCACATTCCTGGTATTAAGCCCGTGGCATTTATTGCGTCGAACGTTTTAGCTAAAATCCCTGCCCACCATGCAGAATGAAGCTTTATAGCCTCAACAGGGACCAAATCTGGCCCAGGGGCCTTACCAGATTTCAGCTCAGCTATCAATTCTAGGATTTCAGCAGGGTCGGTATTAGGCCAGACGGGAAGGGGATTAGAAGGTCTCCAATGAGTGGCCGGAGCTTCTGCCACTGAGAAATATTTTCTCAGGAACTGCTCCCATGTAGGGGCTGGGATCATCGTTAAGGGATATTTCGTGTTTCTTCCCTTTATTAAGGACCAAAATTTCCGGGAGTTATGAGATTTTGAGGCAGAAATTATAGTCTGCCAACGATTTAAGTGCCACTCCCGTTTGGCCGATTTCTGGGCCTGTTTGTATGCTTTTTTAGCCAGGGAATAAGATGGAGGTAAGGCCGGAGCGCCGGAAAGTTTATAGTCATTATATATTGTATGTAGATGGAGTCTGGCTTGTTTACAAGCAGAGTTGAACCAAGGGGCGCCAAATTTAAAATAATCGTTTTTAGCTCCATAGGTTGTAGAAGTAAAAAAGCGAGTTAAAACTTCTATCAGGCAAGAAAAACAATTCATACAGGTAATAGGATCGCGCGAGACTATTCCTACGTCCATCTGATCGCCAGGAAACTTTTCTCGGATAAAATCCGTATATCTATGAGCGAGGGCAGGGGACCATTTAGTCCCCTTTATTTTAGTGGACGACTCCACAATCACCGGGATTGGGTGGGAGCGGTCGAGCAACTGCCAGTCAACACATAACTTGGTTGTCAGGGGAAGATGGTCACTAAATTGGGCATTATCTATTTTAAAAGAGGTGACATTCAAAAATTGATCCCAGGAAACCAATACATAGTCGAGAACACTGTTTGATTTTAAGCCCAGGTGGGTGAATTCTCCTGGTATGTCTGGAGGACACCTGCCATTTAATATGATTAAATTAAGGCGTAGAGTCATCTGATAGAGCATCACTCCCGCCTTATTGACTTTTACATCCTTTGATATTCTACTGGGGGTGTATACTAGATCGTAGGTTTGAACGCCGGGGTCAACCCACCACTTAGACTTTTTAAGAGCCTCCCGATTTGATGCTATCCGAGCGTTAAAATCGCCTCCAGTAATGGAGGGGACATTGGGATACTTAAGATAACAAGAAAGTAAAAAATCCTCTAGGGATTCCCATCTAGAAGTAAGATCAGCTGCTAACCCTCCCAGAGGGAAATAGACATTTGTAACCAATAAAGTGAAGTTTCCACCAGAGATC